TTTTTGTGCTCACAGGTACGCTGCACGTTAATTAGTTTTGTTTACCTATGCATATTTTTTCTTAATTTCACAACAGTAGTTTTTGTAATTGACAAAGCAATTTACTGCATGTGTGCTTTCTGCACCCCAGACAAATACTCTAACATGTAGTGCACCTTTCTTTCCAGTTCAGATTGTTAAGAAAAGAATTAGTTGTGACTAATTGCCAATTAATTTGCAGTGGTTTTAGGGAGGAGGGGGGGAAAACAATTGCACCTACTAATTAAAATTTAAAATATTCCAAAGTGTCATCTTTAGGTGTCTATGGAATACATAATTTCCATTTTAGTTCTGCACTGGATCTGTAACAACCCTGAGCTTGACAGCTCCATTAATTTAAAACCTCAGTGATACCTATTAGTACAAAACATGAAAAAAATGCCATTAATCATTTATTTTAATTTTGCAGCTCTGTCATTTTCTCAGTATGTTTAAAAATTATGATGACACCATGATGTTTTCCAATCTACCTGTGTGAAGGGGAAACGGATCACACTACTTAGGAGAGAGACTAGAGTATATTATTAGAGCTTAATTAATGCCAAACTGATTAGATTTGATTGCACTTTGCACAATAATATTGTTAAGAAATCTATTTAAAAGATGTGTTGCATAATGCTATATTTAAAACAACTGGTCTAGATCTGAAGAGATTTTGACCAAAATGCCAAATAATGCAAGTCACAGGTTAATTTTGTTTAGTACTGTCTACATTCTATAGGTCTTAGTCATATCAGAATACCCAGTACAGCTCTTGATCACCTACGGGAAGATAAAAGTATCTGGTACTCTTACGATACAGAGGTGTCGTATCCCTCCATTTCCTGCAAGGGGAGCACCATATGGGCATCTAGACTGTGGGAAAACCCTCATACCCTCAAAACTACCAACATCCAAACTGTGCTGATAACATGGAAAAAAGTGACTGTAAACTAACAGATCCACCTTGACAAGTTTTTTTCTGTCAGTTTTTTTCCTCTGTCCTCAAAATACAGGACTTCTTTCTTTAACATTAATTGAAATATTATAAGCAGAGCTGATTATATGTTTCCAGTTTTCTCTTGTCATTTAGCATTGTAGTTAGTACCTGTATTTGTAGCACCATGTTCCATGTTAATAGTAAATATTTAGGCATTCTGTGAAGTCAGGAACATGAAGGTAACCAGCACATATTGCAGAAAAAGGAACATGAAAGCAAAACTGACTGACCTAAAAGGTATAGTTATCACACTAAAATTATTGATGCACACTGCATTTCGTTTAGTGGATGCATTGTATTAATGTGGCTTCAAGGCATATTTTGAAACTCTGACCTGCCTCTGAAACAAATAAATGTCTGGTTTATTCATTTATAAATGTCTGTAGTATCACGAATTCAGGCTTCTCCTTTATCAGAAAATTTGCTATTGACACATGGGGAGCAATTGCCATCTCTTCTTTTAAGAATTATGCTCTTTTTTAATTAGATCTGGTGTTCCTTCCCACAAATACGTCATTGGACATACTTTCTAATACTGGAAAGGTGATTTTGAAATTGCAAATGCAGTATTTTTCTGCTAAACTTATTTATTAGATATACCAGCCCTTTAAATTTCTGTGATCATGAACTCATCGATTAAATCTTGGCTTCAGTTAGTGAGTGAGAGTTTTGCCATTGGCTTCAACAGTTTGCATTTAGCCTATAATGTTGTGTATCAGGCTTACAACAAAAATCAGTGATATCTTAGCAATTCATGCAGCTATTTACTTTCCCCCTAGATGGAATTTTGTTATTTCCTCGTTTTGCCTATTTTTAAATATAAATTTGTGCCAAATAGAAGGTTTTTTACTCCAGCAGCATGTCAGGCACTCCCCTAATTTATGTTTAAAATGTCCTCCGTATTTTCTGTAAGTTATTGTATATGTTCAGAAAAACTGAATAAATTATCTCAAAAATTATCTTCCAGAATTCCATAGTAATTTGTATGAGTATGTTTGTTCAGGATATCATCAATTCCTAAAAATATGTTAGGTTAGGGTTTGAGCTTTTGGGATTTTTGTCTGAGCACTCTCTTTTTCTCGTGTGTGTGTGTATGGGTATCAGAGATTCACCTAGGAAAAATTAAAAACAAAAAAAAAATAGTAGGTCTTATTTAAAGCTTTTATAACTGTGCTTCTACTAAAAAAGACATGAGGTTGCTTGCTGAATGCAAGAGAAACTGGATGGTAGAAGTTAGTCTATAGACACTGCATATGCATGCACACAGGATCTATATACAGCTGTAGGTAGAGATTTCTTTAACTAAACTAAATCTTGGTTACTTGTAATTAAAGGTTTTTCTCTCTTTTTTTTTTTTTTTTTGGTCCATTTCAGTCTCCCAAACAGCACTTTCAGTGTTCAGTCCCACTTTGACCTACAACGCTATTTCTCTCTCTGAGACCCTTAGCGCTCCTTCCCATCTCTACATACACAAGTATGTGTCACCCAAACTCACAGCACCACCTCTGGCAGTGCTGCCAGTATGAAAACAGAAGCAGAAGTGAGAGTCCAGGGCAGAAATGCAGTGCCTGAAAGTCTTGAGAAAGACAAAATCAGCCTGTTTCAGGCAAGATAGTGCAATGGTCCAGCATGTTATTACAAACACACTGATCTCTTTTTATCACCCAAAGATAAGATTTTTTTAATCTTTTTTTTTCAGCGGGAAAATAAAGCATCAATGGTTATCATTGTTAGCCAATGCAATGCTAAAATATACTACCATGCATAAGTAAACAAATATACTTTAAATTTACACTTTATTTTTGTATTTTCAGAATGTAAAATATATTTTACACCACTGGAATCGTGCCAATTTATAACAGTCGAAAATATGTCTTGGAGAAATGCATATAGGACTCCATCCCCATGCGCATGAGTGGTTAATCATGTTCATGCATCTTAGCTGGTCTCAGCTGATAGGATACAACATACTGAAGAGGTCACGGTCTCTGAAACAGATGGCTCAAGCCAAAAAAGAACATTACAAATGATAAACATTTTCTCAATATGTAATTGCACTCATCCTCTGGAGCATTGAACAGCCCCAATCCAACATGCAATCTGTATGGGGTCTCAGGATTACCTCACCTCTTCATACTAAAGCCATCTTTTGAGCTTTGCTCTTTTATTCATTTTAAGATGGAATTACTTTGATTTACCTCTGAACGGAAACTCTGAGGCCATTTCTGCTGCCACATCATGGCCAAATCTTGCAATAAGCTGAACCCTTATGGCTCTGGAAGAATTCATTCACAGCAGCTGCAGATTACTTCATGTACTGATCCTCAGGATCAGGTTGATGTCATCACTGTTCCTGAGCCCCAAAATATGTTTTGTGAAGCATGTGAAAGTTACAAAAATCCTTGAGGCGATTTTCCAGGACCAGATCATCAGCTGGTATAAAGTGACATCAATGAAATAACGCCAGTTTACCCCAACTACAGATTTGGCTTCCAAAGTGGTGCCTGAAGCAGAATTTCTTGTGAGAAAATATGTTGATGCCAGTCTTTGAAAGCGAGAGTTATTATCCATGTGCAATTAATCTAATTTGCCAAAAAAAGCCCGTATGCTAAATTTGATACTAATGAACAATGTTGACAAAAACAGGTCACGTATGAAATTTGAGACTAATGAACTAAGGTGGCGTGGAAATGAGCATTTGGAGAGTAAAGTAAAGGCTCTATTAGAGTTAAACCAACCCACTCATTCTGTTGAGATTTTTATGTTTCTGTCTCCTTATATTGTAAAGTAAATTTCCACCCCAAGAAATATCCTGATCTATATTTTAATGAGCCTCTCCACGTGACATACATTTTTTGTTTCATTACTATTAGTGAATGACAAGTGAAGGATATTCATTTTAACTTGAAAATGTCAGGTATGCACTTTAAGAGATATATTTTTCCAGTTTTTAATGAGGTGGTGTTTCTTTTTGAAAGAAATACCCATCTCTGATGTGGGTACTATGCAGGTGACAACTGATATTTAATAAGTGATGGTTCTTGTATTAGTCGTAGTTCACTAAAGAAAATGTCTCAGATTGCTTTTGAAAAACTCTTAGCGTCACTAGCCCAAAGGCAAGATGTGACCTTTTTATTACATAATGAGAATCATTTATTATCTTACAATGTATCTTAAAGTCACAGACAAAATGCCACTTTGATAATTGCTTTCAATTAGCTTTGAGCATAGCATACATTCATAAAATGTCTTCTCTAATTTAGACTTGAATTAGAGAAAATTGCAGACATAATCTACTTTAAGGTTGTCTCATTTAAGGTGATTCGTAGTTTTATATCAAAGAAATCAAAACGGGTGGCTTTAGAGCAGTCTTACAAAGTGTTTTAAATAGGCTTTTCAATATTTGAGTCTATTCTATTAACAATTAATTAACAAATTAGAATGCTAGTCCATCTTTTTTGACCTTTTTTGTATATTAACTTTTGACTTCAGTTCATAATGGTTATTTTGAAATTAAGCAGTGTCATGTGTTAAAGGAGAAATACAGCTTGATTAGATGTATAAATAAAGCATACAAAGACATAGCTTGTATCTTAGTAATAGGCAACGGCTTGGTCTGTCAGCATGTATGTCCTTTCCAACTTTTAAATTCTTATTCATCTTGTAGATATGTAAAATATTCAACAGCAAGCAATAAATCCCACACTCAAAAAGTAAGATCACATATTGGCATGTATTTTATTGCATATGATTTTTAATATTGATTGTGTGTATAATTTCAAGTATTTGTGGAAACAATGATTACACATATATTGGTTTACTGCATATGTAACATCATTCATAAAAAATTCAGGTATTTTCCTTTCATCTTTGATTAAATGAAGAAGGTTTGGAAGTCGCATATTAAGATAATTTGGGCATCTCAGATGCTTGGAATTGAACTAGCTCAAGGGATAACTGGTTTTGTTCTTTCTTCCCCCAGATAAAAATTACTCACAAGAACCAAGCCCCCATGTTGATGGGACCTCCTCCAAAAACCGGTCTTTTCTCTTCTATCATCAAAAGAACAAGGAACCACAGCAAGGAATAAGCCTATGTAGTTTAGTTTTTAGAAAACCAATTTGCTTTGTTGGGCTTTGGAATATTTATGCTGGAAATCTTTCATGAGTTTTACTTCTACTATCTTCTACTTGCAAAATCATGGATTTTGGTTTAACAGTTTCCGTAACCAAGCTAATGTAAAACTATGCTATTAGAAAAAAATATTGTCACAGTTTTGTAGGCATTTTGCATGATGAAAGCAGATGTTTACATAAAGTGATACAGCATATTTTTTGTTGCATGCGTTACCATTTACTAATCTATGGGCTAATTCTGCCATGGAATATGAGAAGAGAATGCCATGGATAATTTGAGTTTCTCTCTTTTCCATTTCAACTTTTTCTACTACAATGATCATATGCCATAGGTTCAATAGTATCTTTTGAATCAAACATCTTCACTTCAATAGCCAATTAGACCTGTTTCAGAGTAAAGTTTATTACAGGTCTCATTAACCCGTACTGTTAGTTTATCATTTCTTTCTACCCTGAGAATAGTTTTATTCAGCTAAGCATTAAAGTCTTTTATCTTATTCTGATAACTTCTATGTATGTGAGTAACTGTACCTGCTGAAAACATCTAACAATGTGTGCAGTATTCAAATGATCATGATTACTTTTGTGTAAGTTTTTGTAGGATTGGAAGTCAGTGCAAGTTTGAGCAAAAACTATAAAGCTAAGGAGACCATGCTAAGAGTGAAGATAATAATACTTGCAAAACTAGCCATCAGTGTTGTTTGTTGAAACACTAGAATTATTTTAATGAACAATACATCTCTGTAACATGGCAAACTTTAAATCATTCTGCGTATTGACTGATAGAATAGTGCATATGCACACAAACAACCAAAGCTCATGCCTAATAAAGTGCATTTCCCACCAAAGATTTAGTGAAGGATGCTTCAGAGAAATGGGTTAATGCATAATTAATCAAGCTCACTGAAGTAGACTCGCTTCTGAAAATTTACAGTTCTTTTGATTATGTTGGCGATGTCCAGACAAATGTTGGGGTAGGAAAAAACATTAAATTAATTGCAAGTAAATACTCACTTTTCATTTGTTTCATAAGTTGATAGACACAGACGCATCCTCTAAATATTGAGACATAGACACGTACTCTAAATATCGGAAAATTCAACTTATATTTAATATTGTTGTCATTATTATTTATACATTTGTGCCATCCACAATTTACTCATCCCCTAAATTAATCTCTTAAGGAAAGAACAAACTGTTATCTATTCCACTTTGGTAGTCTGCTGTCTAGAATCAAAACATTTCTTGTCATAAATTTTGGGAAGGCAGTTGCTCAGGTTTTTACTTTCTTAGCCCTCTGAGAGACTTCCTAACAGCTTAGAAAACATAATACAGGGATTTGTCTGAGGTTTGCACAGCACTGTCTAATGTTGAAGGGAAGTCGAAGCATAGCAACTTTTTTCAGTCTTGCATATAAACAGTCTCAATCAAAACTTTTTGTGCAGTCTTAACATTGTTCTTTGTTCAGAGTGAGCTGCTTCTCAGCTCTGCATGTCTTAAATTCTCAGAGATTTCATCAAAAAACAAACAAGGAAAAAATAAAACTGCTTGAAATGCATGATTTCCCATTTTTATCTAGACTTTAAAATGTTAATGATTTATCAAATCTATTTTTCTATTGATTCATTCATCCATTAAAAAATAGTATTTCATCATTCTGTAGTGCACGGTACTGTGCATGTACTTAAATAAAGTTACTATCATTTGTTCCTCAGTATAAGAATTCAACAGAGTCCTAATTTATATAATAGACACTGAAATAAAAGTCAGTATATAGTTGGTAAGGATTATGTCTTTGAAATATACAGTCTGTGTTCTGTAAACATTAGGAGGTAAATACCAATTAATGTTATGTTCAGCATTAGGTAGAAAAATATGAAGGCAATTATTTGCTAAAATTAAGATCCTGTAATTCCCCATTCTTGGGTCCAGTGGTGTTGACAATTACGGTTACCGTAGGAGTAAACTAATATTTTTCCTGTGCTTTACAAACACACAGAGAAGCATTCAATGCACTCCTTAGCTGCAAACATACGTAAGTATAGAGCAAAAGATATTTGCAAAAAGAAGGAACTTGCTGACATAATATTACATAACGTGTACATTGGTTTTATGAAATTATGGTTACAGGTGATAAATATTTTCACATAACTTGACATAGGATTTTCTACCAATGCTCTCAACTTTTTGTGGCAAAAATGTGTTTAACAATAATATATAATGTGCTCTCTATGATTATCTCATGAACATTGTAACTCTGAAAACAAATAAAATTATACATAAGCTATTATTTAATAAAGTATGCAATTTTAAATGTGCCAGTCTGTGATAGTAAATTGTTCACAACACACTTTTTCATATAAAGAGGGATAGATGGGTTCATATAATCACAATTACATACAATTCTGACTAGATGTATAAAAGGTAAATGAGATCTGTTGGTCAGTATGTATCAAATTCTCACTGTAGCAAAATATAATGGAGCAGCCATTTTACTATATTGGCACTTATCATAGTAGTGACAGTCTGTCTATTAATATTGTTTGTTTTTTTAGTATGGCCTCCAATAATTTAAAAACATGCTCAGGTTGAAAGTATTGATGATGAAAAGAAAATCTTGGAGTACATAAAACAGTATGAAAGGAAAATGTTTGATTTAATGAAAGAGAACTTCGGGGGGGTGTCTTTTTTTTCACTCTTGTATGCACAGAATTAACATCATGAAATTATACACTGGTATATGAAATGAAACAAAGAATATATGCATGTATCTTCATACAGCTGAAATAGATGCACTGTTCTTACATTGACTGAAGAGTAGTAGCTGTAAGCCTTCCACTGTTTACAATGAGGCATTCTTTAAGGCCTCATTAATGACATTTGCAATATAAATGGAAATTACAAATATGTAGGAATGATATGTGACACTGGATTTCAAAATTTTTCATCTCCCTACTAGAGCATTGCAGCTGGGCAATGTGCTGAGGAAAGAACATGACGTCTCAGGAAGAAATCTTAACTTCTGAAATTGGTTAGCATCACTCTCACTTTGCATGAGTTCCTGTTAAAAGGAGGTGGAAGCAGAATTTATTGCAGAGACGAATACAGAATTACTGTTTCCAGTACTTGCAAGATATTTGTATGCATATCATCATGATTATTTAAAGCTAGGGGGTTAGACCTCGTGATTTAGGCTTATTGGTGTGTGTACGTGTATGTGCATGCTAGATCAGGTAACGTGCTGATATGCTTAGGACTTTGATGAGCTAGGAAGTACTTAGTTTCTGAAGCAGAAGTTGATGTTCTATAACATTCCCTCACTCTTATCAACTCTGTAGTATTGCTTGTCAATTGCAGCAATGATTAGCTAATATCCAAAATTATTTAAGGCAAATAAAGTCACAGACTTCAACATGTTTCAAAATAAGTAAGAAGTAATATAGTCAAAGAATGTGTGCGTTTGATATAATTGTTGTAAGAAAGGGAGAAAAAGACTTCTATTTTTTAATCTCCAGGTTAATATTTGTTTGCTGAGTCTATAGCTATTCAGTGATTATTAGTGATTTAGGGTACTAATGCTATTCTGTAACAACCCCAGCTGGCTTCTGCGGCTTGTAATTCTGAGGTGGATCATAGTGAGACCAAGGCTTTCTGGGAAGCAGTTACTTTAGAGAAGTGTTGTCCCTCACCTCTCTGGAAAAGTGACTGGAGAGAATGGCTACAAAACTGAAAAAAAGTCAGGAATAATTATCTTTAGACAAGAAAGCATGAGAAGTTCAGAGAACTCTGCTAAGGAATGGCAAAACAGGTGCTCAAAATGATGCGTGAAATGGGTGGGTTGCTCCAAGACAGCCCACAAAATGGCGATGTGGGGCCTGGGAGGCCAGATGAAGGCACTCAGGGTTAACGAGCATTGATGTGCCAAGGAACTGAATTAATTAGATTAATCTAGAAACCCTTTCCATTTAAGGCTGAAGGACTTGAATAGCATGTCTTCCCTTTATGGGAAGAAAGATTGTTGGAGAGGAGTTAGGCCCAAGAAGAGGAACAACTGAGCCCTTTGCGTGAAGGAAGAAGGACTTGCGGGCAAAGGAGAAGGATGGCCAAAGGAAGGTAAAGGACTTGTGAGGGCTTTGTTTATTTCTGAGTACTTTCATACCCTGGAAAAAAGAAGGCGTTTGCCCTTGCTGTTAAATAGCAGTTTGCCAAACTGCTAAGCAGTTAGCACAAAAATAAATAAATAAATTTAGAAAGCTGAGATGAGCCTGAGAAGCACTGCTCAATGTTTTATGCAAGAGTGGTGAAGAACGTGTCAGCCTCTTGTCAGATAATTGCTGCTTGTCTCTAGCTTCATCAGGTCTGAAAGCATTTTGTTTTCTCTCCTCTGTCCATAAGGAAGGAAACTTCTTGTGGTCCTGCTGAGGTGAGTAAAAGCTTTACAGTAGCCCTGACTGGAAAATAAATAAAACATAGGTGAGATCTGGAAGCTGAATCTGTTAATGAGATATAAAGTAATAGGTTAAAATCCGCAGCATGCAAGGCTCTGGGGGTGTGCTGTGCAGCAATGACTGATGGTACAAACTCTCTTCAGGTCTGTCAAGATTAGCTGGTGTCTGCTCAACCTGGCTTGTACCGTGGTGAGCCTCCTGGCTCTTATACCCTATTTACACTCAGACTATGGATTTTTCAGTTGATTTTGAAATAAGGAGGTTTGACCTTCCCTGTTCTGATCTGTGTGTCTGTGGCACAGATACAGATGGAGCTTTCCTATTATCAGGTTCTCTTAATTTTACAAATATAGCTGAAGCAGAGAAACTTCTCTATGACCGTTGACTTCCATTATGTGAAATTGCCCGACAGCTTGAAACTATAAAGAGGCCACGATACATTCTAGGCATCTAGAATCTGGGCATGGTGATATTTCACAGGTTGCTTTTTTTCCTTTCTGATTCACAATTCAAAGAGACTACCTGAGAAGCACCTCAGGGCTCTCTTTAAATATGACTCATACAAAGAGTAAGTGATAATCATCAGGCTTTGTTATTTATAGAAAGGTGGTAGCTGTGTTGATAGTAAAACAGCAGTTTCATAGTGAGGTGCCCATTTCTAATAAATGTGGAAAATTATTTGCTGGGTCTAACTGAGTGAGATTCAAAGATTTTGAATTTTCAGGTCAATTTTTAGTCTAAAGTTGATAATGACTGAAAATACTTAGCTGCCGATTTGCCTATTTGAAATAAGCTTTTGTTTTGTGTTTTTTGTTTTGTTTGTTTTTTTTTAACCTAGGGTCAAACTCACATGTTGTGAAGGAGCATAGCAATTTGCATTAATAAGTAGCTTTTCTGGACAGGAAAGTGAGCGCTTCTTACTGTTTTGGTGAAACTCATACTTATGAGCCATGTTCTGCCTACCAATAAGAGACTACAGGCTGTCAATCTTCAGACATGTCAGTCTATTTACATTAAGTACAAAAAAACCCCACATAATAACAATTCTTCTTTAAACTATATGTATCTGCAGAAAGATAGTGGTGATTTGTATATCCCTCAGTGAGGCAATCGGACGTTGCAAAATGAGCATCAGCACTGTACTTTCTGC